ACCTTCCCTGCTTTCATGCAGTCCCCAACAGGGCCAGGCAAACGAGGGCTGCACTTTACAGCTGGGGAATAGGGCCCAGAGAGGCTGAGAGCTTACCCTGGGTCACACAGCTGGAAGCCTCCAGACTCAGGACTCCTAGGCAGGCAGAGCTGAGCCCTACTCACTGAGCTGGCCAAAATGCAACAGTGGTAGGTACTGGACTGCAACTAGGCCAGCACTTCAAAACCACCAGCTGCTCTGAGAGAGAAAGATGGAGGCTGTTTACTCCTGCAAAGAGTTACCTTCTTGGAAACCCACAGGGGCAGTGCTGCTCTGTCCTGTGGGTGGCTGAGTGGGCATCGTCTCTCTGGCAGTGAGTACGTCACGAGCGTGTATGCAGAGGGTTGGGTAAGCCTGTGGGGTCATGGTTCAGTTCACCTCGGCTATATGACCCTGGGACAAAGCCTCTTCTCCACGGTGGGCCTCAGCCTCTCCATCTGTAAAACTGATGGCTCTGACGGCTATCATACTTTGTAAAGCAGGTCAGCAAAAAAGAGGACAGCCCGCAAAGACTGGCCGAGGCTGGAGCAGACGGGCCCACACACAGCAGTGACTGCGGCGGCGAAAGGTGGGGCCGGGCTCGGCTGGCGCACCAGGTCTCTTTGAGGCACCCAATGATGACGATGACGACATGGGTCACGCAGTGGGCCAAAGACTGGCTCGGAAGAGGGGACCAAGGATGGGCAGGCTGTGGCTTTGACGGAGCCGGACCACTACATCTTCTTCCATGGAGTGGCCAGTGGAAGCCCCATGGGCAGGCCTGCTCTGTCCTACATGGTAGCTATGAGTTGTCTGGGCACGGCCTGGCTCTTGCTGTGCCCGCTGATGATGTCATCACTAAACTGGCACCACTGGAAGAGGAGCACCCCCAAAGGGCAGTTTCTGTCTGTCAGCGCCAATGCAGGGATCAAACAGGAGGTAGAAAGAAGCTGCCATCAGCGCTCGTTTCTGAGGTGTGTCTGCAAGGAGCAAAGTCCCCCAAACACAAACACGTGCTGATATTCAAGGGGTAACTGGCTGACAACACTGTAGCTCTGGACCCCACATCCCTGTCCCCAGCCCCACCCTGCGCCATTTACTGTGACTTCCAGAACAAGCAAGAGTTGGCTGCTCGCCGAGTGGGCAGTGGGTGGCATGAAGCAGGCATCACACAGTGCACAGGGGTCGGCAGTTCTGGCCTGGGAATGGCTGCCCCTCTCTGGGTGTCAGCTTCCCCCTGGGAGAGTAAGAGGTTGGCTCTCAGCTGTTTCTGAAGCTGCTTTGAGTGCCTGGGAAGTCCCGAACCAACCCTGTCCCCCTCTCCCCCTATCGGTCCCCCAGTCTTGTATTCAGGGCAAACCCTTTTGAAGCACTTAGTGGGGCATCATCTGCCCTCATCCAGGGCTCACAGGTGCCACGTGGGCAGCCAGGCCTGGAATCCAGGCCTAAAGTGATGGTGTCCCCAGGTCAATAGGTCAAGCAGGACTCCCCACGAGGGAGGGCCACCAAAGGCAGACATGAGGGTCCCTCGGTGGCCTCAACATGGTGAAGAGTCAGAGGAGCATGTGCCGGCGCTGGGGACACAGGCCATAGAAACTCGAGGGGACTCTACTCCAGGGCACTGGCCCCTCCCTTGCTTGGATGGGCAGTTGTGCTCACTTGGGACCAGCAAGAAGGGGAGAGGGCACTCGCAGTTACTAGGTGCATCTGGTTAGCGGGCATCAGACAGAAGATGTGCCCCAGCCAGCAGGCTGGGAAGCTCTGGTGCACCCGCCCCTTCTGACCCCTCCTCCTGCCCTTCTCCCTGGGGGGGGGTGTCCAGTGCTCCAGCTTCCAGCACTCAGGTCCCCCTGCCCGCTAGAGAGGGCAGACCCTCCTTTGCCCGGAGGCTGAAGGAGGGGGCCCCATAAGCCAGCCATCAACCCACCCACCTAGCAGGATGCCACGAGTGCCCAGCAGTGTATGAGCGCGCGGGGCTGGGACTGGTGAGCCCATTTTGCAGAGAGAAGCCACGGCAGCTTGGGCGGGCTCTCTCCCTCTCCTGAGTGCCCCTGGGACCCAGCCCCAGAGCAGCCGGGCAGAGGCAGCACAGCACGAGAACATCTGGGCCCAGAACTGGTCTGGACGGGGTTTCCAGGAGTCAGTCTCAAGCAGGCAGGGCAAGGGCGGGGTGTCCAAAGACCAATGGGGGGCCCCAAGACCAGCTCTGGTCCGCTCCTCCTCTCCAAAACTCCCTGCTGTGAGGGGATTGGCTGGTGGGAGGGCTCAGGCTTGAGCGGCCCAGCCCGGGCAGGTCTGGAGACTGCCCAGTAGGCAGTGATGCTGGGAGGCCCAAGGGAAGTATCTGACAAGGGGGGAGGGGAGCCCAGCTGGGCAGCGCTTAAGCACCTGGCTGCCAACTTGAAAGGTCATTGGTTCTAATTCAGCAGCCACCCGGTGGGAGAACAAGGCGGGAGTTGGCCTCTCTAAACCCAAGGGGGCAGTTCTGCTCTGCCCTATGGGGTCTCTGCGAGTGCGAATCGTGAGGGTTCGAGTCCAGCCCTGCCTCCACGTACTGTTTGACCTCAGCGCAGCTGCTTAGCCTGTTTCCTCATCGGCAGGGACCTCAATCCACACTCACCTCACAGATTATGGGAACCTACCTATTCCAGCTGGGGCTGGGCAGGCACAGGCTCCACCCCAGCTCCATTGCCCTGAGGATGCAGGTGCTCTAGTATCCAAGACTGCCCAGCCCTCCGGACAGTCCCCCTGCCACCACCCCCACTGTACTCAATGTGGCCCCCTTGGCTGACCAGCAGCCACTTCCAATGCCAGCACCCTGAGTCTTGCCCTCCCAATTGCCAGGAAACCCCAGAGGGACAGGAGGGAAAGGGAGGAGGGGAAGAGGGAAGGGACAGGATGGGAAAGCCCAGCTAGAAGATGGTGCTAACACCTGAGGGGGGTGGGGATGCCAGCAGGGGGAAGCAGAGACTGCTAGGAGGGCTTGCCCCCAAGGCCAGCCAGGCAGGGGAGGGGCGCGCACACACACACACACAGGAGTCTTACTTTGGCGGCCATCCTTTCCACTTCACCAGGTACTCGACTTTACCCTGGGGAGAGAGGGGACAGATCAGACACAGAGAGGTACCCGGTCTCCCCCACAGCCACTCCCAGGACAGCCAGGCCCCAAAGGGTTGCAGTCCCACATCCCCTCGGCAGCCAGGGGTCCTGCAACACACAGTCTGAGGACCCTCAAGCAGATCCTTGCCAACCTAGAGACGCCCACACTTGCTTGCCACTGGACCACCCGGGACCCAAAGACAAGACCCTCACTTAAAAATTAAAAAACAAAAACATGTTGATTTGTCCTATTCTAGAAAAGCAATCCCTCAGGTGACTCCTTCTCCTCCCACCTGGTGTTCCAACAACCCTGTTCCTGAGAGAGGCTGTCTGCAACCAGAGGCAACAGACGTTTGGATTCTCTGCTCAAAGTAACCCTCTAGTGTCCCCAGGGGCGGGGGTCCAATCTTCAGAAAGGGTGGTAGATTTTTCAGTTGTTAAAAGTTAAAGCCAGCCTGCCCTTCCCCCACAGAGAGCCACTGTTGTCACGGGCTGTCATTGAGTCACGGGCTGTCAATTACACAGCTGGAGGGAGTGTTGGGCTCCCCCGGGCCTTTTCACTAGTGGGTTTTTCTGAGGGAGATGGCCAGGCCCTGCTTCCCACTCCTCTGAAACCCGTTCAGCATCCTAAGGACATGCAAGCCTCCACTGGCCGACCAATGGTGGCTGTGCTCAAAGAGCACCTCAAAACTGAACCGGGGTCAGCCTAGTGGTGAGCTGCCCCTGGGAGGGGGTCTTAAAAAGTGCCCAGTTCAACCCTATCAGATCCTGAAGCCTAGCCACACCAGAGCTTGCAGGCCAAGCTATGTCACCTCCCCAAAGAGCTTTTGTCACTACAAAGCAGGTCTTTACTTCCTCCTTCTTTGTCAGCTTCCTCCACCAGATGCCAGCTCTGGGAGAGGAAGACACAGGAATCCCTGGGACTCGGGATAGTGCTGGGGACACACTGGATTATCAGTGACTGGAAATGCCCTCCTGCACTGGCCTCAAGCCCTTCCACGGTACCTGCCTCAGGTTACACTTTGTGTAAAGCACAGAGCTTTCTGGAATACATTAATCCTTTCTTGGATCAAGAAAGGCCCTGGGGTGGGGTGGGGTGGGGGAGGAGAGTGAGAGGAGAGGTACAGGCCCAACCAGAAGACACAGAGCTAATCCAAGCGAGTTTGGGGTAGAGAGGAGGCTGGTGGTCCACCCTGCCCCTCTGACCCTCTTCCATGATCCAGGACACCAGGACTAAAAAGTTTTCTCTCCACAAAGATGGGCCAATCGGTGTTCTGTCCTACCTCCCGCTCTACAATTGTTGAGTAACCTTGAGCTGGCCACTTCCCAGTGCAGGACTCAGTTTCTGCCTCTGTCAAGTGGGAGGTGGACCAAGGCCCCTCCTAGCCTTGCATGGAGCCCTCCCCGGCCCCTCACTCCCGCCCCCAAGGGCTGCCGGGTAAAGGGCAGGAGGTGGGCTGGAGGTGAGGAATGTTCCCCAAGGGCTCCCGGCTTCGAGTCTCCAGCGTGGGGCGAGCCCACTCCACAAACACGTGCACAGGCAGCGCGGATGCCAGGCGGGGAGTAGGCAGCCGGCTGCCTCCAGACTCCGCAGGCTGCGAGTTTGGGGGAAGGCAGAGGGGGCGGAGCTCCAAGGATGTCCCAGCTCAGAATGAGGCGTCACAGACCAGAAGGGAGCTAGGGTGGGGAGGGAGGGTGAGAAGGGGAGGGGACGCACCCCTGGCCAAGACGCGGGATCGGAAGAGGGCAAAGTGCAGCAGGAAAATCTCAGTGGCTGGGGGCGGGACCTGGCCTCCACTTTTCCGAAGCTCCGCCCCCAACTTCCAAGGACTTGGTACCTAAGCACAGAGTCCGGGGTTCGAGACCCAGGTCTGTCGCTAACACAGCCCAAGTCGTTGCCTCCACTTGGGCCTCAGTCTCCCCTATTTGGAATGGGTGGGCGCTAATAAGGCAGGATGGCACACGGGAACCCCACAGTCCGACCATCGCAGCAGCGCAGGCAGGCTCGGCCGTGCCCAGCATCTTGGGGCAACTTTTATTCCACTCACCCTACACGGTGGCGGGGAACACTGGGGCAACGAGTGGAGAGCCAGGCCCAGCTGGGCGGGGCAGCCCGGGTCCCTGGCCCTACTTTGCCCCCGGCCCCTAACGTAAAGGGGCGGCGCTGGGGAGCGGAGGGAACCCCACAGGGGTCCCAGGAGCCGCCCCCGGGCACCCTCACCTTCCGCACGCGCTTCTTCCGGATGCTCTCTACGGCGAACACCTGCTCGCCGATGGCTGACAGCTCCATGCGGGC